GTTGCTGCAGGGTCAATTAGCCATGCTGAATACTAGGTACCATGTTGCTGCAGGGTCAATTAGCCATGCTGAATACTAGGTACCAGTTGCTGCAGGGTCAATTAGCCATGCTGAATGCTAGGTACATTGTACCAGTTGCTGCAGGGTCAATTAGCCATGCTGAATGCTAGGTACATTGTACCAGTTGCTGCAGGGTCAATTAGCCATGCTGAATGCTAGGTACATTGTACCAGTTGCTGCAGGGTCAATTAGCTATGCTGAAGGCTAGGTACCAGTTGCTGCAGGGTCAGTTAGCCATGCTGAATGCTAGGTACCAGTTGCTGCAGGGTCAATTAGCTATGCTGAAGGCTAGGTACCAGTTGCTGCAGGGTCAATTAGCCATGCTGAATGCTAGGTACATTGTACCAGTTGCTGCAGGGTCAATTCCATGCTGAATGCTAGGTACATTGTACCAGTTGCTGCAGGGTCAATTAGCCATGCTGAATGCTAGGTACCAGTTGCTGCAGGGTCAATTAGCCATGCTGAATGCTAGGTACCAGTTGCTGCAGGGTCAATTAGCCATGCTGAATGCTAGGTACCAGTTGCTGCAGGGTCAATTAGCCATGCTGAATGCTAGGTTCCAGTTGCTGCAGGGTCAATTAGCCATGCTGAATGCTAGGTACCAGTTGCTGCAGGGTCAATTAGCCATGCTGAAGGCTAGGTACCAGTTGCTGCAGGGTCAATTAGCCATGCTGAATGCTAGGTACCAGTTGCTGCAGGGTCAATTAGCCATAAAACTTGAATGGTATATGTCTTAAAAAAATTATTTTTTTAATTATTATTTTATTTGAAGATCAATCCACACAGGAAAGTAAAATGTCCCAAGAGAGTGCTGTGAATATTCCAGAGGATGATTGTGATGATGAAGATTTTGATTTTAATGAAGATATTATTTGTGAACATGGTAAGTATCCAATACCACTCTCCCTCCTCTCCACACAAACACACACATCCGTCTAACCACTATATCCCCACCTTATTTGTAACATCTGTTGCCTGTTTATAACTGTATATAACATTGCCCTGTCTAAACAGGGCTTTGTGTTTTGCAATACTGTATGTATGTCACACGCAACGTAATATTACCGTAATTGGTATAGTACAGGTGTGATGGTTCAAATACCAAAATGGCAACAGTAACAGAAAGACTTCCCTGGCGGCGATGATAAAATACGAACACAGAGCCAACAGATGAGGTTTCAACTGGTACTGGTATTATTATACTCTGCAAACATCAAGTACAATAACGTGGTAAAACTCCACTACTCCAATGACTAGATACTTAAACTCCAATACAATTCAACGAGATCTCCGATCTGACCTCAGTGTTGAACAACTCCCCTATATATACTACCACTGTCTATAAATAGATCATTACATCAGTATACGTAATGAGTCTGGAAATTACTACAAATTTCTAGAATGTTCCATTACCTTCTATTGCCTCCTACAGTGTTCTATTACCTATTCAACCAGTTTCTAAACAAAAAAAATCTAGAATATTCCACCCAGACACAGTACGGTTCTAGAACATTCTCAGTGACACGGAAGTGGTAAATAAGTCGTATGCGACATTGTATGTACACACTAAATTCAATTAAGTGATATACAGTACAATCTGAGCTTAACTCAACTTATAGATGGCTTCAACCTAGTTAGCTTACTTTCAAACCTGCCACTATCTAAAATGTACAGCATAATCTGCCTAAGTATGTTCTGTATTACCAACATAGATAAATACTGCAAAGAATAAGTTGAAATTATTAATGACAATGATACTCATAAAATTTTGTTTATGAAAAGTCCAAGCCAGCTCATAGCCAGCATGGAATTTAACATCCAGACTTTACTGTAATACATTGTTTCTACTATCACTATATTTCTTTTTTTGTAGACAACCTGAGTACTGATGAGAGCTGTAGACGTTCGTGTCTAATGAAGTTTGGAAGAGGCTGAGACATTATTTTCCTGATGCACCACAATTCTCTGCAAGTACTCCATCGTGTTTGGTTTGTCAGGTACCTGTAGCACTCATTGATATTTAGTATTGTAATATAATGAGAGACTTTCTAATTGGCAGTATCAAATGATTTTATGTAATGAGAACAATTTGTGACAATTTCGCTTTCTTCTAGGACCATTTAATATTGCCTAGGTACATACTTGTACTATGGCCAAGTTGTTTTCTGCTTTTGTATTGCAACATTGCTGTGACCATACAAAGGGAGTTGTATATTATCCATACAAAATTTATCTGGTCACCTCAACCATCTGGGGGAAATTATAGGGATACTGCAACATTAAAAGTGAGTTGCCAAGGGAAGTTGCAATTACCCATATAAAATCTTGTTTTCACCCACATACAAATATACTATAGAAACTCTAGAATACATGAAAATTGGCAAAATATTGCTCCAAAATTTGACTTTTCAAAAGGGTTAGTTAATCTGCATTATCTGTCAGACATTTTAATATTTTACACTGCTGATGGTTTACATTTCGCATCAGCTTGTTTCAGTTAACATGTTTCATTTTTTATTGACTTTTCTGTTTCTTTTCTGTGACTTTGTTTCTAGAGGACTGATCAAGAAGATGAACAAAATAGTGAGTTTCGTAAAATAACAGCTACAGAACAAAAGAATGCCTTACCACAGTTGTATCATGACAGAAATAGACCAGCATGGAATAAAAGAGTAAGTTAAACATAAGATCTACTGTTCAGATAATGTCTTGTTTTGCATCTATGCATCTCTATATCACAGCCAAGTATGCATCTATTTATATGGATTTCCAATGGGTACTATTGTGTTCCCCATAAAATATATAATGCACATTTGTTAGACTAATTTACACACATCAGAAATTAAAAATTATGCATCTGAAACAGTCAAGCAGGTATCCAATTAAAGACATGAATTCATATATTGGGTCACTCGTGGCATCCCTATATAGTAGCAATGGAAAAGTTTATCCCATCAGCAGAGTTGGAAACATAAAAAACAGTATGTAATATTAGTATATATTTTAGTTATATGTAACCATAAAAAAACATTTGACATGTCTGAAGCATGTTCCCTGTTTCAATTTAAATCTCATACACAGAGTGCACATTTGTCCAATGAAATATTGTAAACCCATTTCCATACTTGATAAGTTTCATAGGTAAGCTGGGTAACACTGGGGTAATGCACTCATCAAGAGGACAGACACACAATAATTTACCAGTTTTAGACTGTCCTTAGGAGCTGTTTATTCTACATGTATGAAATAGCTATCTTATATAGTTCATCACAAAGTCTTGTACATAGTTATCAACGCACTAAATTTATTGTGTTTATACACAATATCGCCAGCATTGCAGTCAAAGCACTGGACACTGACTAGCAAATTTGCTCGCTACATGCAGTGGTAATAAGTGTGCTTAAATGGTCACTAAATTATTTTTAGCATATACCAGTACTTTATTTGCACTTGAGGCTTAATAATATTTGTGTTATTTTAGGATGTCAGTTCACTGTATGTTGTTAGTCAGCATTTTGTAGAAGAGTGGAGAAAGTTTATCAAACAGCCGCTACGATATTTCCCTGTCAGTAAAGTGGATAACTCACAGTTTTTATGTTCTCATGGTGGATTGTCATTTCTGCCCCATGTACCTGATGATGGGAATTCACATATGTAAGTATAAACACAAATATGCTATTCAGTTTCCTTCTCACAGTTAACAAGAGTGAAATAAAGATACTTGTTTTACAGAACAAATGCATACAACCCTATACAGGCGTTCATTAAGAACAATTGTGCTATGTATTCCTAATTTCACTTCCTTCTCAGTTTCTGCAGCATTATTAATTAATTACAAAAGTTAGTTTATTCAAAAGTGAGAAAAAATCATTTTAATGATTTGGTACTCAAAAACTGTACTTCGTTACCATGTTCTTGGAAAGCACTGTACCCAGTTACTATGTTCTGGGGAAGCACTACCCAGTTACCATGTTCTTGGAAACCACTGTAACCCGTTACTATGTTCTGGGAAAGCACTGTACCTGTAAACCATTACAATGTTCTGGGAAAGCCCTGTACCTGTACCCCATTATAATGTTCTGGGAAAACATGGGTACCCTGTTACAATGTTCTGGGAAAGCATGGGTACCCCGTTACAATGTTCTGGGAAACCACTGTATCCCGTTACAATGTTCTGGGAAAGCATGGGTACCCTGTTACAATGTTCTGGGAAAGCATGTGTACCCCGTTACAATGTTCTAGGAAAGTACTGTACCCCGTTACAATGTTCTGAGAAAGCATGGGTACCCCGTTACAATGTTCTGGGAAAGCACTGTATCCCGTTACAATGTTCTTGGAAAGCAATGTACCCCATTACAATGTTCTGTGAAAGCACTGTACCCAGTTACCATGTTCTGGGAGAGTACTGTACCCCGTTACAATGTTCTGGAAAAGCAATGTACCCCATTACAATGTTCTGTGAAAGCACTGTACCCAGTTACCATGTTCTGGGAGAGTACTGTATCCCGTTATAATGTTCTGGGAGAGTACTGTACCCCGTTACAATGTTCTGGGAGAGTACTGTACCCCGTTACAATGTTCTGGAAAAGCACTGTACCGCGTTACAATGTTCTGGGAGAGCACTGTACCTCGTTACAATGTTCTGGGAAAGCACTGTAATCCGTTACAATGTTCTGGGAGAGCACTGTACCCTGTTACCTCATACTGATGCTATCTGTGAATGTTGATATTCTTGGCAGTGAGATGTATCATACTAGAGTTGACTACAGGATCACGCCAAATTATTCTGCCAAAATTTGTTGAAACCTGGATTAATGAGCGAGATAAATCAATTGTGTAAATAATGTTTTATGTTTTACAGGGTTGTCTATGTTTGGCCGCATGAATGGGAACTTATTGTAGACTCATTTAAAATAGATCACATCATAAAAATAACCCAGCATTACGGAGAAGATGGTAAAACAAAAACATTTACATCACAACCAGGTAACATTATACAGTTTTATTCTACAGACAACATAGCTTGCTATCTGTAGTTCAGAGTCCTTTGGATGTTTTAGTCATATCCATACTTTAAATATTATCATCCGCTAACATCATAATTGTGCTGCCTAAATAATAGCAGATTTATTGTTTTCCCACATCATCTGTTGGGTACTATCATTTGAGTGAGAATTATTCAATTTACAGAAATCTGTGAAGAGTGCATTGCAATGAGAATAAGTAAAGAGGAGATGGAAAGCAAAGACTATACAGATGAAGTGATCTATGTCAGAAAGTTGACAGACTCTAAAAAACCCAATTTGTCAATGCTGGAAAGCATGGAGGACCCAGCTGATGTCAGTGATAGTAATTTGAAAGAGGATAGTGATCCAGATTTCACTCAGAACCAGGTTAGTTCAAATACATAATATGATGGTAAATATTTTCAGATACATTCTATTTGTAAGGCTCTGCCCTCTATGTACAAACTCATCAGTCCCTCCTTTTGGTTACCGGTATGTAGGAACTCGTCAAGTAACAGACAAGGAACAATATAAGCATGTATCACCTATTTATGTAAAGCATTTATTTTTAATAGTCTAAAAGTACAGTAAACCAGTATTTGTCATTGCACAGAAACATATAGAAATGTATTCCATCTATTATATTTGCGTTTAGAGCCATAAAAAGAAAGAGAAGATCAGTAGTAGTGATAAGCAGGTAAAAAGACGTAGTTCTCGACATCGAAGAACGAGAGGAGAAAAACAGATTACTGTATCTGCTTCAAACACACTGAAAGAGTTGAAAGTTCAGGTAATGTTCACATAACTGATTGGACCTTGCATAAAGCATGATTTCATGTTGGGTGTGAAATGAGTGGCAAGCTTTGTACTGAGTATAAACATGATTCTGTTGATGAGGCACAGTGTGCCCTCTTAGCTGCTTGACACTAATTCTCTGATGTGTAAATGATGCAACGGAAAATCATAAATTGATATATTGATTTTGAAATAACATCTTATTATAGTTTTGGAAAATGGAAAAATGAAATTCATTTTTGTAAACAAAATAAGACATTTTAGTTTCGAAAGTTTCCTTCATCCACATCCACCAGGAAAGGTGTGTGAATGCTTAGCCTGTGATAAGAAAAGGTGTGTGAATGCTTAGCCTGTGATAGGAAAGGGTTAGTGAATGCTTAGCCTGTGATAAGAAAAGGTGTGTGAATGCTTAGCCCGTGATAGGAAAAGGTTAGTGAATGCTTAGCCCGTGATAAGAAAAAGTGTGTGAATGCTTAGCCCATGATAGGAAAGGGTTAGTAAATGCTTAGCCTGTGATAAGAAAAGTGTGAATGCTTAGCCTGTGATAAGAAAAGGTTAGTGAATGCTTAGCTGTGATAAAAAAGGGGTGTGAATGCTTAGCCGGTGATAAGAAAAGGTGTGTGAATGCTTAGCCCATGATAAAAAAAAGTGTGTGAATGCTTAGCCCATGATAGGAAAGGGTTAGTAAATGCTTAGCCTGTGATAAGAAAAGTGTGAATGCTTAGCCTGTGATAAGAAAAGGTTAGTGAATGCTTAGCTGTGATAAAAAAGGGGTGTGAATGCTTAGCCCGTGATAAGAAAAGGTGTGTGAATGCT